TCATTGGAACGTTTATTTTTGTAGATTACGTCGACTATGCCTAACTGAACACCATGAGCATAGCATAGTTGGATTAATAAGTCGTCCTACTTAGACCATTACAATGGCCCCATCAGTTATAATAGCTACTATATCATCATCCAATGATAGAGCATAAATATTCTTTTAACTTAGTTTTCAAAATATCTATACAGATTTCTGCTGGCATACTACTCGTACAAGTCCCAAGTTCCAAAACCATAGATGACCCTTTACAACTGTGTAAACATTCACATTCATGAAGCGCCTGTTCCTATGCAGGAAGTCCATTCATCGAACGTAAGAATAAATCTGTGATTTTCTTTTCTAAGTTCCATAAGATCACATGACACTTTCATCTTCATATTCATGCCATAATTCTTCACAATAAGTTTTATAGAATTAGGAGATGATGGTCCCCCATAAGTTCCGCAACAATTCACTCATTTGTACTTGAATAACTTTTCACAATATATTACTAGTTTGGTAAAGTGATATTACTAATTCCTGTTGAAAGGCGAATTGACAAAAAGGGAATATACATAATCTTACAAATTTTGACTTTAATAAGTTATTGTTTAAGTACAAATAACTGGATTGTTGCGGAACTTATGGGTGGACCTCTAATAACGGGCATCTCGACTAGCCACTGTCAGTTAAACAAAAATATGTTTAGGTTGCATCTCAGTACCACATCCGTGTGTAGGGCTTGTTATCAAGAAGACGAAACGATTGAGCATAATCTCTGTGATTGCACTGCTCTTTCGCCAATATGCAGAGCCAGATCGTACCCATCGCTAGAAGAGCTCAGAGGCACCGCCCTAAGCGACGTCATCGCCTTCGTGGAATCGCTAGGCTGGATGACGACCTAAGGATGACCTCTCCTCTTGTGGAGATGCACAATAGACCTAATGTGGCCTAAGTGCGCTGTGGCATACCATATATACCACCATAAGCGCAACTAGGGGGGTGCTTGGGGGTGCTAAGCACCACTAAAACAAAAAGTAGCACTCCCATTCGGCATCCCACCATAGCACTACCTAACACTTATATAAAAAATTAGTGCAACCAAATTATTTATATTTTTTTGTACTTTTTGTACTTATTTACGTCATCGATGACGTCATAATTTAGAAATTTTAGATTTTACTATCACTTCTCCGCGATTCTAAATTCACTTTTCCGCGATTGTAAAGCCACTTTTCCGCAAATATTACCTCATTTTTCCGCGATTCTTATCTCATTTTTTCACGAATTTACACTCACTTTTTTTGAAATTTTTGTCCTTACTTTTTTTGCGATTTTAGTCTCACTTTTTTGCGATTTCACCCCCATTTTGTTGCGATTTTACCCTCACTCCTCCGCGATTACAAACTTATTTTACCGCTATTTCATCCTCATTTTTCCGCGATTTTTACCTCATTTTCCCGCGATTTTTTCCGTTCTTTCCGCGATTTTATCTTCACTTTTCCGCGAATTTGACCTCACTTTTTTTGCGATTTTTGAATAATTTTTTTTTTGGAATTTTTGACTTATTTTTTTGCGATTTTACCATCACTTACCGCGATTCTAAATCCACTTTTTCGCGATTGTAAACCCACTTTTCTGTAAATATTATCTCATTTTTTCGCGATTCTTGCCTCACTTTTTTTTGCGATGTTATCCTCACTTTTCCGCGATTCCTATTTCATTCTCCGCGATTTTATCTTCACTTTTCGTGACTTTATCCTCATTTCGCCGCAAGTCATCTTATTTTTCCGCGAATTTAAATCCACTTTTTTTGAAATTTTTGACTCATGTTTTTTTTGCGATTTTATCATCACTTTCCGCGATTTTATCCTCTTTTTTCCTCAATTCAAAATTACGAGAATAACGATAATTTTTGAAAAGTTACGAAAAATTACGGGAATTACGTTAAAGTACGTAAAATATGAAAAATTATGAAAATTGCAAACATTTACGAGAATTACGGAACATAACGAGAATCACGGAATAACAAAAAATTGCGGGAATTACAAAAATTATGGGAATTGCCAAATATTACGCAAAAAAATTACGAAGTTACTCCAAAATTACGTCAATTATTTAAATATTACTAATTTTTGAAAAGTTACGAAAACTTACAAGACAAATTACGAGAATTACGAAAAATAATGGGAATTATAAAAATTTACCGAACTTAGTAAAATGACGGAAATGACGAAAATTTGCGGCAATTATTAGAAATTATAAAAATTACGGTAATTAAGGAACATACGAAAAACTACGAAAATTACAAAAATTACGGGTATTACGAAATATTACGGGAAAGAATTACAAAGTTATTCCAAAATTACGTGAATTACGGTAATTCCCAAAATAACGGAAATCACAAGTTTTTGAAATTACGAAAATTACAATAACTTAGGCAGAATTAAAAAATTCCGATTTTTTTTGGAAATTAGGAAAGTTGAAAATTAAAAAATTGAAAATACAAATAATTACTGGAATTACGAAAACATCATGATGAGAAAAGCGCGAAAAATTGCGGGAATAACGAAAATTACCAAGTTTTCTAAAAATTGAAAAAAATAAGGGGGAATCAAAAAATAACAAGAATTATCTGAAAAATGACAGGAATTAAAAAATTTCGAAAATTCCCAAAAAAAATACGGAAATTACCAACTTTCGAAAATTTCAAAAACTTAGGGGGAATTATAAAACTAACGGAGTTTTTATGAGAAATTACGGAAATTAAAAAATTACGAAAATAATGGGAATTACGAAATTTTCTAGTTTTTCGAAAATTGTAAAAACTAAGGGGGCATTATGAACATAACGAGAATTATCTGAGAAATGACAGGAATTACAAAATTTCGATAATTCCCAAAAGAAAATACAAAAATTACGAGAATTACATAATTTCGGAATTATGAAAATAACGGAGTTTTCTGAGAAATTAAAAAATTACGGAAATCTGAAAACTACAGGAATTATTCAAAAATTATGAAAAATACGAAAAAATCACCGGAATTAAAAAAATTGTGACAATTTTCAAAAAATTACGAAAATAACAAGAATTACAAAAACTTACTGGATTCACGAATTTTCCGAAAATTGCAAAAACTAAGGGGGAATTATGAAATTAACGAGAATTTTTTGAGAAATGACGGAAATTTGAAAATTTTCGAAAATTCCAAGAAAAAAAAATACTGGAATTACCAATTTTTGAGAATCACAACAAACTTTGGGGGAATTATAAAGATAATTGAGTTTTTTTGAGAAATTACGGGAATTAGAAAATTACAAAAATTTGAGGAACTACAGGAAATATAAAAATTGGAAGAAATAAGAAAAAATTACGGGAATTGCGAAAAAATTACGATAATTTTTGGGAAGTTACGGGATTTATGAGAAAGTTACTGAAATTAAGAAAATTACGAGTTTTCCAAGAATTGCAATGACTAAGGAAGAATTACAGAAATAGGGAGAATTATCTGAGAAATTACGGAAATAATGAAAATTCACAAAAAAAAAATTGAAAATTACGGAAATTACGAATTTTTGAAAATAACAAAAACTTAGGGGGAATTATGAAATAAGTAAATGAATATTTTGAGAAATTACGGAAATTAAAAAATTACGAAAATCTGAGAAACAACAGGAATTATTCAAAAATTACGGAAATTACAGAAAAATTACGATGAATTTTGGAAAGTTACGAAAAATTAAGGAAATTACGAAAAAGTTATGGGAATTACGAAAATTACGAGTTTTGCGAAAATTGCAAAAACTAAGGAAAAATTATAAAAATAACGAAATTTATTTAAAAAATAACGGCTTTTACCAATTTTTTTTCGCAATTTCACCTTCACTTTTCCGCAATTTCAAAGTTCAAACTCACTTTCTCGCAATTTCAACAAATTTGTCTGCGAATTTTGCCTCACTTTTCCGTTATATTCCGCGATTTTCGCCTCATATTTCCGCAGTTTCAACCTAATTTTTCCATAATCTTTACTTTTGTTTTTCGTATTTATAACCTCATTTTTTCTCGATTATAACCCTGCTTTTCCGCCATTTTTACTCAACTTTTTCGCAATTCCAACATTTCCAACCTCATTTTTTCTGTAATTTTTACTTCTATTTTTCCTAATTCCAACGTCACTTTCCTGCGATTTTGACACTCACTTTTTCGCAATTTTTGAAAAGTTACGGAAATTACAGCAAATTGCAGGAATTACGAAAAATTCCTGGAATTATAAAAATAAAGAGAATTACGAAAATTACAAAAAATTATAGGAATTACGAAAATCACGAATTTTTGACAATTTCAAAAATTTTCCAGTGAAAAATCACCCTAGGAGAAATTTTATTTATATATTTTCGGATAACTGAATAAATTCTCTTCTAAGTTAAAAAATGTATTACAAAACAATAATTCCGAAGATGCTCCATGAATTAATCTATGACATAACTTTTTCTCTAAGTTATGACGTCATTGATGACGTAAGTAAAAACCTGCGTGCCGTGCAACGAACTATATGTTTGTTCGAAATTTCAGACATAAAAAAACCTATTTTTTTTTAAAAAAAGGCAAATGATGACGTAAGTACAAACCATCGTGAAACTAACCTTTTACGCGTCTCATTTCCTTTCCACCAAACTCCAAAAAAAAAAAAATAATAAAAAAAAAAAAATGGTGCTGCAGCACCCCTCAAATTTGGAGCCTAGTTGCGCTTATGTATACCACCCTCCAAAACTTACAGATACAGACACGATAGATACGTTAACCAGTTCATAGGTTTCATTGCGTTGGAATGCTATACGATAATTTTTTCGGAAAAAGAGTGTCGTCCACTACAAGGGACTTGGCAGAACCTACATTTATTTGATTATTCATAATTTTCTTTGCAAGCCTTGCAGTTTTCCAAGCAACAATTTGACGAAATAGACAACTCTTTGTTAAAGTATCATAACAATTAAAACATCATTTGGTTAATTACCTGACATATTCCTAGACACAGGCCTTTTTCTCGAAGCATGCAAGTTACCAGTAGAAGCCGCTTGTAGAGCTGCCATAATTTCGTCTCCTTGATCAGCCAATAGTACATACAATCCTTCTCCTTTGAGGCACCTGGAACCACCTTCGAAACAAAACCTACCATCGACCACCCCGTACCTCCTCAGGTCAGCTATTTGCCATTGTCCGGCCACCCTAGGAGGTACACCAGTTGTAAGGCAGAAGCTTCGCTCTTGAACGTGCAACCTAGCTGGACCTGGTGGAAGCCTGTAAACCATATTATTAAGTACCTAAATAAATAAAGTATTAAATAAACTCTTACTTGGTTTTCAAAGGGGAGCTTGACACCAGCACCAAAAAATGTGGGCCATCATTCAGGTGAGAGCTCAATTTAATTTGCCACTGCATCAAACGTTCTCGATTATCGAAAGCCAGCACCACCACAACGTCCTGGCATACGATTGCAACCGTATGCGATTCTTTGTCCAGCGTGAATCCAGATTCAAGTCCCAGGAAGTGTTGTAGGGACAAAGAGGCTTTAGTTTGGCCTTGTTTGTATCGGTCTTTGGAGTCTCTGTATAGTTGCAGATGCAGACAATCTGGAAAAGAGTAGCGGTTTAACTAAAAGTTGTTGATGTTAGCTGAGATTAAAGCGATAATCGCGGAAAGTTTGCTTAGGCTAAGGGCAACAAAACTGACGTAGAGAGAGTGATTAGTTAAAATTGTTATATTGGCTTTCCAATTTAATAAGATTTTAATTATAATCGGGCTGGTAAACTTTGAAAAGTTTGTTGTTGACTTGTTAAAGTTAATAAACGTAAGCAATAAGCTGAGAAAAGTTTTTTGTAGTTTTGAAAAGTTTGTATGAGTGAAAAAAGTTTTTAACTAGAGTACTTATGTACTAATTGTTTATTAGAACCACATGATTAAACTGTATGGCTTTTGGCCCCCTGCAGCTCCTCAATTTAAACTTTGTCTACTATACTGGCCCATGAAACTAATAATAAAGTTGACGCCAGTGTTTGATAGAGAGCCTCAACTACCGCACAAAATTCCTATTTTAAACAAACTTTACTGATTCTGGAAATTTCTTGTCTTTACTAAAGCGCAATTTTGACCGCGGAAGCTTTGTTTGAATGAATAAATTAAATCCACATAGTTTAATCAGTTTGATAATCCTGTTCACAAAAGAGAACAGTTTGCTGAGTTTATAATTTATTAGGTATACGAAGTAGGTACTCTAGAAATCAATAGAATAGAATCGGGTCTAATGTAATTTTAAAATGTTATACTCCTGACATGAAGTCTACTCCGTCTGCAATTTATTTAAAATCTCCTTGCACTACAGCTTTGGAGGATAATCCTGGGTGTAATAAGACTCTCCCTGCTTGCGAAGTCGAAGAAATGCAGTGAACTTTCAAATAAGGGGTTTAGAATGTTTTTCTACTTTACATGCAGAAAAATCTATTTCCTAATACACACACACATTCCCTTGTCGATCCAATCTTGATTTACTGCCAGTAAACACCATTATTCCATGTGACGTATAATACCAGTTTTGTCGCAGCAGCAGCAGCAGCAGCAGCAAATATTTCGCAGACTCTAGGAGTTTATTCGCGAAAAATAAAAGAACAAACAGTTTATTGAGATAGTTGTCAGCCGGCGAAAGCTTTTATTTCATAATTCAGGAAAACTTTACGGCACAAATCCATTAAATAATTCGAAAGAGTTTTGCAAATAAGAAAAGGATTCTTTGGAGAGGATTTATGTCATCAGGTGATTGTTTGCCGTCTTGCATCGAGAAAGTTTGCGGAGTTTCGAGAGCGAACAATTGAAGTGTTTGGAATTGGATGAAATATTTATAGTGAATGTTTTTAGAAAGGATTAAATTTATCTCTTGGGTTTTTTTTTTGTAAAAGTGTTTTTCTAGTAAGTGTAGTGTCTATAGGTTTTGTAATAGTTCCAAACACACATGTATCTCTATCTTTGGTAAAATATTACATAAAAAAAAATTCTTTAGTTGCCAATATTGAGCATTTTAGCATTCATAATAGCATGGATGATGGTCGAAAAGAAGCCATGCTACTCCATTGTGTAGGTGAGGAAACATTATATTGATACTTATTCACTGTTTATTACCCGACCCTTCTAAGAATGATATTGCGAAAATAAAGCTAAACAATCATTTTGTACCAAAAACATAGTTTGAGATTTTTACCTTTAGGCAGGCTAAATATTACTAAACAGAATAAATCAGAGAACATTGAAGAGTATTATGCTCGTTTACTGAAATAAAGCACAAACTGTGATTTCTCAAATGAAAATAGGGAAATTAATTCCCAAATAATCCAGTGCGAAATTGATGTGCGAAAGTAAAACTGGAAAATCTACAGGTTGCTGATAAAATGGTAATCGATGAAAGATTTTAAATTAAAATTAAAAGATATCGAAACTGAAAAGGGTATTTTTTCACCTTATCTGGCTTTACTTCCAAACTCCACTCAGCTGGCCAACTCAGGAAGTTCAAGTCCAATGCAAAGGAGTACAAACAAAACCGGTCGCGGCAAATAATCCAGTGCTATGTATAGCCAAACAGAATTTCCAACAACAAAGTCAAGGTAACACATATATAAACATATACAATAATTCACAAGTAGAGCCATTCACATCACGCATCAATAGTCAACAAGACAATAACAATCACAGGAAGTATAACAATAGTCAAAACAACAACAAAGAGTATGTTAATTTCAATGCCCCTGAAAAAAATTTCACCTTACCTGGCTTTACTTCCAAACTCCACTCAGCTGGCCAACTCTTGCAGGAAGTTCAAGTCCAATACGAAAGAGTACAAACAAAACCGGTCGCGGCAAATAATCCAGTGGTATGTATAGCCAAACAGAATTTCCAACAACAAAGTCAAGGTAACAACAAAACATCACATGTAAACACATACAATCATTCACAAGTAGAGCCATTCACATCATGCATCAATAGTCAACAAGACAATAACAATCACAGGAAGTATAACAATAGCCAAAACAACAACAGAGAGTATGTTAATTTCAATGCCCCTGAAAAAAATTTCACCTTACCTGGCTTTACTTCTAAACTCCAGTCAGCTGGCCCACTCTTGCAGAAAGTTCAAGTTCAATGCAAACATTCCTGGGTCCTTATTCTTGAAACAGGAGAGCAGCGTTCCCAGGAGAACGAGTGTTCCGTCTTTCTCAATGATATGCAACTGATAATATACGTAACAAAGACGGAACACTCGTTCTTCTGGGAACGCTGCTCCCCTATTTCAAGAATAAGGACCCTGGAGTTTTGAATTATAGTGACGATATTTTAGCATTTGGTAACACTGTAGTCACAACCATTCTCTAGAAGCTGTGTTACAGAAATTGGAAGAATGCAGCCATTACAATTAACAGATCAAAATGTGTATTCAGAGTAACGAAGATAAAATTCTTTGGATGCATATTTTCACGAGATGGAGTCCAACCAGATCCGGATAGAATAAAAACTATTGTAGATTTAAAACTACCAAAGAGCCCGACAGAAGTAGGTACGCAGCCTTTTGGGTATGATAAGCTATATGGCAAAGTTTTTACCGAACCTAGCTAATAACACCAAAATCCTTAGAGATTTAACACTGGAAGAATCCATTTGGCAATGGACACCAGAACATGATCAAACATGAAAATTTTTAAAAGAACAATTGATGAAGGCATCCCATTATGATGTCAATAAACCAACAAAAATAGTAGATGCTGGACCTGAAGGTGTAGGCTCGATTCTCAAGATGTTATCGTTTATGCTAGCGGAACTTTTTCTAATGTACAGTCAAATAGAAAAAGAAACAGTATCATGTAAGTGGTCCATACAACATTTCCATATCTACCTTAATAGAACAATATTTACTTTACATACTGATCATCTTCCTCTTGTCAGAATCTTAGAAAACAACAGATCTTTCCCTCCAGTGCTCGAATAGAGAGACTACTATCAAGAATTCAGCCCTATTAGTTCAAAGTCGTTCATCAAGATGGCAAGTACCCATCAGATTATTTGTCAAGACATCACGTACTTGATTCAGCTCTAGAAGATACCAAAATAGAAACATATGTCTTCATTACCCAAAGCTATGAAAATTGAACAAGTGCAATAAGCTACTAAACATGATAAAGTACTCAGTTTTCTCATTGACACAATAAAACAACTGGAAAAAATCTGAATTATCACCGTTCTGCAATAGTTATTTCCATTACAAGTGCGTTCATGAACATGATTATGATAACGAGTGTGGAAAATTAGAACGACGAGGTCGTAGACCGAGTCGTTCTAATCACGCGAGTTTTGTAGTTATGTTTAAACTCAAGGGTGATATACAACATTTTATCTACAAAGCGAAAAATAGGAATGCTTCAATTATTTTCTTTTATTAGTAGTTGTCTACCTTCATTTTACCTCTACAGGATTGACTTTGAAATTTGTCACATCAAAAATTGTTATTTTGTAGATTCCTAACTTAGTCCATAACACCACTAGTTGTGTTATGAATTCATAACCTAGTCCATAACATCACTGGTTTTGTTATGAGTCTCATGACTTTCCAGCCCAATCCAATAAAGTTGGCCAAGATGCCAGCGGATTAGAAATTAACGTTTTAAACCGGCGAAAGTCATCAGCAAAAATGGCTAAGAACCCCTATCCCTGAATTTTCGCTCCTTCACAATTGGATATTCCAAATCAGGTGACTTTTGGCATACCCCCAAGGTATGTGATTGGTTAAATTCGAAACATCGTAGAAAGAAACGTAATAAAACCTGGCAACGCTGATCCAACCCGGAAATGTGCAAATACCTACTTATCCTCATTCTCATTTTCAAATATTTCCTGATACTTTGGAAAATGAGTCTATACATTTTGAAAACTATAACTTCAGGATAGGTTGGCGAAGGAGCATGTAGAAATTAAATTGTCACAACTCCCCCTTTCCTACGACAGGAGGAAAAGTAACAGAGGAAACTTTTTCGACGATCAGCCAAGCTTGAAAAACAAGACAGAGATAGGGAACGTTAGAGAGAGAGAGAAAACCAAATATCAATAAGCCAAGACATCAAATATGAAGTTCAAGTAAAGCTTCGTGTGAAGTATCTGCTTACTTCACCTTACGAAAAACCACGAAGGTAAAGTGAAAGTAAAGGTAAATATAAGCAAAATGGTAGAAGAGAAAAAAAAAAGAAAAATTTTTTTTGCGTAACCAGTGTTGCGTTCTACTTTCGAATTCCATAGTAGAACCTCGTGCACTGGTCTTGCACTGGATGCCAGTGAAGATCTCCCCAAAGTTCTCTACCACAACACGACCAAAGAGTGGGTAGAAGAGATATAAAAGACAAGGGAGTAGGGATTTAAATTTTCCCAAAAGATCCACCAACAGTTGGTTGGTTGGCTGGTACAGAAGGTTCGTCCCGAATTTTTCCTCACTGCTTGCTTTCCTTTTGGCGTTAATTAAGAAGAACGCAATGAACGCAAGATGGTCATGGACACCTGCAAGTAAGAACAGGGGTCGTATTTTCGAATTCATTCGAGTACATTT